TGATGGACATCTGCGGTAATGAGGGAGATAGGTTAGATTTTAGATTCAGTAAGGAAAAATCAGCAGTCATGATTTTCAATGACAACGAAGGTAGTGAGCTTAGGATACAGGACGTCACGCTAGAGATAACAGACAAATACAAATATCTGGGCGTATGTATAAGCAATGGGACCGAGTACCTGAGGGAACACGAAATATACGTGACGCCTAAAGGTAACAGGAATGCAGCAGTGATGAAAAATAGGCAACTGTGGAATTACAATAGGTATGATGTTGTGAGAGGAATATGGAAAGGGGTCATGGTTCCTAGGCTGACGTTCGGCAATGCGGTCTTGTTCATGAGATCAGAAGTTCAAGCAAGATTAGAAATTAAGCAACGTGGAATAGGTAGGCTTGCTTTAGGAGCTCACGGGAATACACCAAATCAGGGAGTACAAGGTGATATGGGATGGACATCATTTGAGGGCAGGGAAGCTAGCAGCAAGATAAAATTTGAGAAGCGATTGAGAGAAATGAAGGAGGAGCGTTGGGCTAGGAAGGTTTTCAGCTACTTGTACATGAAGAATGTCTATACAAAATAGAGGAAGCGAACCAGGAAGTTGACTGGCATGGAGGAAGGAAAAAGGTCCTTCCTCCGTGTTGATTGGTAAATACTTAGAAAACAGCAGGTGGCCAAACCAAAAAGAACTATCGGTTAAGAAGAAAGTGAAGGAAACGGAGACTGACATGTGCAAAATGGGCATGATTAAGAAGTGCGCACTAGAGATCTATCGAACTTTTAAGCAGGAAATTGCCAAGGAAAGGATCTATGATAATACTCGGGGTAGTTCTCTACTGGTTGAGGCAAGGACGGGAGTACTGCGAACCAAGACATATCGGGCCAAATACGAAGGGTTAGACACATGGTCTCTTCGTTTTGGCTGCACCGGCTGAACCAGTTCAAAGGGTGCAGCACCTTCGTCCTCGTTTTGCCGGAGCAGCGCGCGCCCTCTGTCGCACCCTCTGCACTGGCTCCCTCGTTTTGTCTAGGTGTAAGCCTAGTTCCTGACGAGTTCTGTACCGGCGTGCACGCACTCCAAAGCAGGTGCAGAGTAGTGCAGCATGGCGGGCGTCCCCCAAGGCCAGAGCAGACGACGTTGCAAATAGTTGTTCAGGGCGTTCAAAAGGAAGTTAAGGCACTTCACAATCCCGACGGGTCATTTATGACGGACGCCAACGGTTACGTCTATGAGGCATCAGGTAAGTCAGGCTGCATGCATTGCCAAAAAACGTGGTTAGCGGCCAGGAGTCGTAGTCGGTCAGCAAACAGCCTCGTAGCATTGCTTATGCTATGTCGGTATTTTTAATCTTGGTTTTCGCCCTTGCAGACGGCAAGCGCGTTACGTTGCGGTTCATGGCAGGGAATCGTGAAAATGACCCCCCTCCGGCACAACCGCCGACGCCTTCTCCTGCCTGCGACGGCGACGTTGACAGCGATGGGGCTTTAGCCGCATTTCCAGCAGCAGCCGCGTCGGCTGAAGATGTGGAAGAGCTTTGGAGCGCCCGAAAAACAAGGTTCTTCATCGCCAAATACTCGGAAATGAAGGACTTGGTGGGAAAAACCAGGGCACTTCGGTATGTCATCCTATGTCCAAAATTATTTGCAGCTTTTTATTATTCCGTTTCACTCTAGGCAAGCACCAACAAGATAAGGGCGCATGAAGTTCACAATGGCGATGGTTATTGTTGCCTACAAATATGTAACGGAGCAGATCAACCCGTCATCACAACATGGCCTGCGCACTAAAAGCGGATAACAATGGGCGTTGAAATTTACATCTGCAAGAACAATTTACGCAAACGCAAAACTTGTATCTGTTGCTAGTCGTGAAGCTGCAAGCACTCGTAGTTCCCACCTTTGGTTATTACAAGACGAAGACAGGAGCTGATAAATGCGATACAGCTAAAGTGCAGTAAAAATTGAGCAAGAATGGAGCTTTCAGAAGCGCATTCATTCGACAATCAATATAGTGTAGGTAGTCTTGCAAAAGCTTGGGCTGCGTACAGGTCACATTAGGGATTGAAAGAATGACTTGTAGCTGTTTCGTTGTTTTGGGGTTCTCCCGCCAGTGCCGATTATTAAAAGAATATTTGTTACTTAGAATATGTGCAATTCGATTCGACTTAGGAACCGAATACAGTGCTGTTTGATTCATTATCCAAAATTTTCGAATAATCGAACATCCCTAGCAATTATCCCTGAAAGCTACACATATGAAGTACTAAGGAAAGGTTCATGTGCTACTGCAAGACTTGGGTCACGTTACGTCGCTTCCTTCTTTCCTACTAACTGTGCTTTGCTTTTTTGTTTAGCACAAGAAGGCTTCTGTGGAAGAAGTTGGCTGAGGCCATCAATACGGAGTTCTTGTGCAACGTGACTGCCACACAAGTGGAAAACAAATGGAAGTCGCTGGACAGAGCATATAAAAAGTCAAAAAAAGACAACAATTCTTCAGGTCACCACCGTGTGAACTGTGAATATGAAGAGTAAGTTACGATTGTGTCTTCATATCTTCAGTGATTCTCATAGTGTCTATTACAGAGAGCTGGCAGAAGTCTTGGAAAAAGAACATAGTGTAAATCCAAGGCTGCTCTTGGAGCCTGGAAAAACAATCCTGCCTAGTGCAAGTCCAGAGTAAGTAAAAATTACTTAATTTGTGCTGTAGCCTGGAAATGACATGGCACCTGTACAATTACTTTCAACAGCACCAGCATCACTGAAGCACCTCAAGATGCAGCAGTCCCAGTCGAGTGCAACACAGCATCCAAAGTTCGGAGCAGCACAACGCCAAAAAGGAAGCGCCAGAGTAGGTCCCAAGTCACGCCGCTCTTGGAGGCATTAGAAAAAATGCAAGCTTCGAGAGCTAAGCAAGAGGAGGCAGCAGTGAAACAACTGGAGGAAAGAAAAAAATGGGAAGAGGCAAAGGCAAAGCGGCATGATGAGCGCATGCAGCGATTCGATCGGTTGATCGACGTACTCTCAAATAAGGACGGGTTATTATATGGGCAATAAACTTTTATAACACTAGCAGTGTCTACTCCATCTAATTTGTTAAAAAAAAACATTGCTTCTAGACGCGGCACCCCACTTCGCAAAACATTTGCACACTGAATAAATCGCGAAGCAAAGATGAACTTCTAGCACTGTTCCTTTGCAATGAACTCTCGCAGAGACTGACTGTAGCCTGGCAGACTGCAATCAAAATCTCCTTCACTTTCATCATTGCCCACATCTTCTTCTTGGGGAAGCGTTGCAAGTTCCTCAAGGAAGTCCCTTTCATCGTTGCACATGTTGTGTAGCACACACGCAGCCATAACTATATAGCAGCACTGTTGCACACTTTTTGCATCAACAAGGTAGAGCCTCCTAAAACGCTGTTTAAGCAGGCCGAAGGTGTTCTCAATAAGCACTCGTTGTTGACTGTGTCGTTTATTGAAGCTCTTTTTCCACGTAGGAAAAGAACTTCCATTGTCCTTGAATGGGGTCATGAGCCATGGCATCAGTGGATATGCACTGTCACCCAGTATATAATTGTCTTCACATTCCTGAATTGCGCGTGCAAAGAAGGGGCTCTCCCTCAGGACACGGGCGTCGTGAACCGAACCTGGAAACCCAATAAACACGTTCAGCAACTTGTTCCTGTCGTCGCAGATTCCTTGCAGGATTATCGAAGGCCACTTTTTCCGGTTGAAGTAAGACTGCGTAGATTCGCTTGGAGTGAGTATCCCGATGTGTGATCCATCGATACAGCCGATGGTGTTTCTTGGGCCCTTGCCTTTACTTTTGGCGAGGAAGCCGTTCTTTATGCGGGTCACTTCCGCGCTACTAGGCCAGCAAATTATCTCATCGCTAATAGCGTGTAAGAAGTGAACGACCCGTGTCACACAAACATGAACAGACGACTCGGTAACATCGAATTTGTCGCCTATGGCGTACATAGATATTTGTGAGCCTAGGTACACAAGCGCTATGAGGCATGTTTTTTCGGCACTGATTTGTTGGCGGCCTTGCACTGCCCTTGGGTAGAAGGCTGAAGTCTTGAACTTGGCCCTGAAACTATCAAAAGTCTCCCTGGACAGCCTGAAGAGGCGCTTGAATTCATACTCATGGTACCTGCCGATAATGCTTTCGTACCCGGGTACACGGTTGGCATCGTCGCGCACCAACGCGCACGCGACCAAGATGCACGCATCGTCGTACTCATCGTCGCAGTCACTGCAAACGGCACCGCTGACGGAATCGTCGTCGCTGCTCGAGTCCAGCAATTCCATCGCAGTCACAAGAAGTGCCATCACGGCCGTGTATTGATCGGACAAGGCGGCGGAGGCGGCTATTTTAGGCTTACACTACAAGGTGTTCTCCGGCCTGCACTCACGTCAACTCACGCCTTCGTTTTGGCTGTAGCCGTCGCGCGCTAGTGTCGGCTAGTGCCGAGGCGTGGTTGAGGCTGCACCTGCACTTGCTCGACCGGCGCTGCACGCTCACTGCACCGCTTGGCACCGCTTTTTCTGCACCTGCACTTTTCTGAACTAGTGCAAGCCAAATCGAAGATTCCTACAGTATGCAGTGCGTGTGGAGAGGAAGAAGAAACTGCCGAATACTTGGTAATGTTCTGTAAAGGGCTTCGCCCTATAGTTCAGGATGATGGCGCAGAGTTTTTCAAAGCACTGGGGTTTAGGGACCGGGAGGGCAAAATAGACTTTAGGCAAGTAGACTTAACTGGAAGGAGGTTATCTGATTGGTGGCTAAAATGAAGGAACGAGTGAAAATAAACTCTAAATTGCAAAGTACGAATCCTCAAACTCACTTTTTAAGGAAAAAATAAATAAATATTGTTTTGAGTTTATTAAGTATTACGGCTTGGTGACGCTAAGCACCGCCCAATCTAAGGGTACAGCCACATCTATCCATCCACCCATCCATCTGCTGCTGTTGCCAACCGCCAATGTATAACCCTGTGTGGTCGCTGGTAATATGGCTGACCCGCAATTCGAGCCTTTCAAGATATTTTTTGACCAGATGCCCCAACATATTAAGGCACCCATCAATTGCTACAGGTAAGCGAATGACCAGGCTTTGTCTAGGACTTAAACTGGAGCCTACCGTACGTCTCGGTGGTGCCTGGGAGACCAACTGGTCTGTATAGGGAGATGCGCCTATCGCGTGATAGTGGTTCTGCTTTGGGAGCGCTCGTGATTTTTGTAAACTAATACCGGGCATGGAATCGGGTGTCGGACACGTTAGCCGCTTTTGAGGACGGGACGGGCGGCTTTTGATTTCGTCAAAAACTGCGATACCGTTCGTGGTTTTGTGAAGCTGTAACCGCGCGTTTTGCACTACGCTAAATGGTGCTGTTGTGATCTACCCATCCGTTCTTACTGTTACGTAAGGATAACTCTACGGTTCAATTGATGCGGAGAAACTGCCCACTAGGAAAGTCGTATTGGGCTCTCGTGAGCTTAGAAGATGCGCATCGCGTACTTTACAAGCCGGGTTTGTTGTTATTGAAGCCGTGCGTCTTTTGACAGCTCTTCTACCCGCCCTTCAGCTGGCATTTCACGGATTAGTGGCTCTGTTGTCCGTCCCGGTCGTCTCTTGCGTGACAGCGTGGAGCGGGCGTTAATTTTGGCTGGTTCGAGACCTCGCAGCTGTTTATTTCCATATCGAGGACGCTTTTTCTGCCCCCGTTGTTCTAATTACGTATATTCTACCTTTCATGTTGGCATGTTAACGTATAGCACGTACTACAACTTGTTACCTTTTCTCGTCTGATGTCAACCCGTGTTCTTGTGCAATTTTTGTTCAGTTTCGTTCATTCGTTGTTTTTGCGTTTTCTCTTGCGTTCTTTTTCTTTTAGTTTCGTTTTGCTGGTGATGATACGCTCGGCTGCTTGGTAATGGTAAGGATTTCATTTTTGTTTCCCGATTTTCACTTATCGCTTGTCATAAATTATTTAGTGTTCTCTGTAGAGTACTTCGGCAATGGCTCTTTTGAAAAACATGTATATGGGTACAAAAAAAAGTCGTTCAGTTTCTACATAGCCAATAATCATACACATACATGTCATGCAGTGCACCATCAGAATAAGAATTTTATTGATAAAAATTGTGTACCAAACAAGCATTTAGTATGCAGAAGGGGGTCCCATGGTCAAGAGACTGTATTGGGACCTCCTGATTTCTTTTGATGTCTCATTATTAAAGTCTAACATTTCAATAAATTACAAATGGCTTAGACATCTCGGCAGGTTTGTGCTTTGTTTTAGACTTCTGCGTTTTGTTGGTAACTTCTTACTGGGTTCGCAGTCAGCACCACATTAAATGAACATGTCGTGGCACAGTCACAAGTGTCACTTTCAATCGCAATCGACCTTCCTTCATTGTGACTTTCTCTGTTGCACAGCTGGTGTCAAGCAGCATGGATCGATTAAATGTGTCTTGGGTGTGCTGTACTTCAATGCCCCCTCTTTCGGCTTGTATGCGTAATCGAGTTCTTAGATTTAGTTTAAATTGGCTGTTAAAGAGGCCTCGTTACACTTTTCGAAGTAGTCATGCAATGGATTCACTAAAGAAGCTTATTCCCTCACGAATTCACTTGTGCTAAAATTTTGAGAATGTGTCCAGTACGAGCAGAGTTGCACTGATTGGTCGCATGCTGCAATTGCTTTCTCTCTCTCTCCTCTCGTCCTCATGAAAGCGCTGGATGAATAAGCAGGCAGAAAGGGAACAGGGGAATGAAAATGCGTCATGCGTGCCTCATAACCTTGAGCACTTCCCCCCCTCCCGCCCCCCTTTTTTTCTCTCTTTTAATGCACGGCTTTTCGATTTCATCGCACTCAGACAGGTCGGGGGGCTTTCGCGGCGGCCCCAGTAGCTCCCGAGCGTGTGTTGCTCAAACAAGCCAATGGCGTGATATCTGAGCCTATGATGGTTTCTGAATATGTAGTATCATTTTACGAGAGAAGACGAAGTGATTTTTAGCTAAAATAGAGAATTTATGAAAAGAACGGGCATTTTAAGGGCTTGTTTTTCTTTGATAGACACAGTAATAATTAGAACTAAGCGAGAGTAATGCCATAAGTAGTACAGGGGAAGTTATGTGTTATAAATGTAATGTAAATATGAAGATACAAACGTGGACAAAAAGATTACTGGTGTGGACAGGAACTGAACCTGCAACCTTCGAATAATGCGTCCGATGCTCTATCAACTGAGCTATCGCAGCGGCCATCTCCCTGTTCATTTTATCGGGTATATGTGTGCATTTCAATGTGGGAGTGTCAGTCGGTGCCCCTATTAGCCAGGACGGCGAGCGTGGCACACTCTTTTTCTGTCTTTTGACATCGCGTAGCACGTGATCTTATTACGACCTGGCAGCTGACTAACGGTTGCAGGTTTGGCCCCCTGCCGATGGCAAGTTATCTTTTCGTCCACTTTGCTTTCTTCACATTTGCATTACAATTAACTCTAATAACATCCCTTACACTTTTTTTGGTATTATTTTCTGTTTGGTTTATAAGCATCTTAGAATTCATTGGAAATTTCCGGCCACATGCTGCGCGATAATATTTGGCAGGCTTGTTCTCTGGAGCCTCTGCTACCGATAGGTAGCATTTTCTGACCGTGCTCAGAAAGTGTTGCAGGGCCCCTTTAAAGCATGTGACTGGACTCTGTAGTTGTAATGTCGTCTTGGACAGTGGTGCACTTGGTCCGCCATAGTAAATCAGTGACTTGGGTGCTGACCCAAAGGTCGCAAGTTCAATCTCGGCCATGGCGGTCGCATTTCAGTGGTGGCGAAATGGTTGAGGACTGTGCACTGTGCAATGTCAGTGTCTGTTAACACCAAGTGGTTAAAATTTTTGGAACCCTCAGCTACGGCGTCCATAATCATATCCTTGTTTTAGGATTTAGAACTCTAGATAATAAATAAGTTACAGTGGTGTAATTGACTCGAAATTGTTTTGCCAATGTAGAACCTGTGACAAAGTGAATGCCTTTCAGTGATCCACATAAGTGAAACTATCCTAATGATGTGTGGGCAAAATAAAAGAACTTTTCGCGGGAAAGGCACGTCCATATGAATTCACCCTCCAATTAGGCCGAGGAAAGCACAGGGGCAACAAATTATTATTGTATTAATAGCAAAGTAACTATGACATAGTTTGATCGTAATTACAATGGACGAAAATCACCTGTTTTGTTCGTTGGAAATCAACCCACAACCTGGCTATTGATATGGCCCCGCCGCGGTGGTCTAGTGGCTAAGGTACTCGGCTGCTGACCCGCAGGGCTTGGGTTCGAATCCCGGCTGCGGCGGCTGCATTTCCAATGGAGGCGGAAATGTTGTAGGCCCGTGTGCTCAGATTTGGGTGCACGTTAAAGAACCCCAGGTGGTCTAAATTTCCGGAGCCCTCCACTACGGCATCTCTCATAATCATATAGTGGTTTTGGGACGTTAAACCCCACATATCAATCAATGGCTATTCATATGTGTGACTAACAGCACAGCGTAAAAATTTAACGGCAAGGGTCTCAAAGCTCCTCAAGGCTGCCATGGTATTGCTGGTGAGAGATATACAAACCAAAAATTAACTGCAGATGTAGCCTGCTTTCACACTTGTCAGAGTGGTACACAGGATGGTGATACTGGTGGCATAGATGGTTTCCAAAATGGAAAAAAAGAAAGCATGTACCTTCATGTTACAAGTCTTAACTTCTGTACAATTGTTTTTTGCAGCCCCTTTCATTTTGCGGGGCTGTACATTGTAGAACTGTGACAAATTGACGCAAGACAGATGTTCGGTCAAACGCGGAGGTTCGAAGTGGCATGAAAGTGTTGAGCAATTTTTCGCTGTAGCCAATGCTTCAACAAAGAGATGTCCCCGTCAGAGCGGCGAAAGGGGCGCATGCCCTGACGACGTCACATTTCCTAGTCCAAATACTCTCTGCATTGCATTCTCTTGAGAACATCTTCATCACAAAATTACAACTGCATTGTATTTCGCGGGCTTTCGCAGAACCTAGAATACGTGGTTACCATATAGATGGATGGAAACACGGCAAAAGGAAACTAATTAAGAGGCTGTGAGAAGTTTGACTTCTTGTTGGTTACAGCTATATGAAGCCAACATACAGTGAAGCCACGTAACTGCTCAGTGCTGCCGTGGTTACATCTAGTGTAGTTGATTAATAGACAGATGTTCACGAGACTGCATCAGACAATGGAGAATGTGGTTGGGCAGTCCCAGTGCGTTGCATCCAATGTCTTTGTGTTCGCTGTTATCTTTTTTTTTTTGTGGTGGCACCTATAGAGACAGTCTTTGCTTCACAACTGCTGTTTAGCTGTGTGAATATTAAATGCACAACAAGAGAGAAAGATTTTTTTGTGTGTGTTAGTGACGTACATTTTCACAGTCCCAAAAAGACCACTCTTCACTCAAAATGGCGCTTGGTAAACGAGTAAATGGATGAATGAAAAATGCAGGTGGAGACACCACGTTGCGACTTGCACACCAAACGTCCTGATGCCGTAGATTTTGGCAGCATCTACCAGGTCCTACGTGGCTTCTAGTTGGTAAAAATGAAGTACATTGCCATGTGTGGGTGCCGCAGAGTTTCAAGTTTCAGAACATTTCATTGAGCCAATGCCGTGAAATTATGAAAAAAAATACATTTCAAAACCCGTGACCGTCACATGCGAATATTTTTGCGCAGGACTGAAAGATGAAATTTCAACCTTAATTTCGCCCAGTAATAATCAAGTTATGGTATTGAAACTTCTGACATTAGAATTTTCAGATTGCAGTGTGTTGACCTAAACCAAGCCCTTGTTTCACTTAAGTGTGCCTTTAAGCTGCGTGCCTGTGGCTATTTTACAATAAGTTTGCCCTATAATTTTCGGTATCAAAGCAGTTGCAAGAAATAGAAATGTTCATAAGAAAAATCTTCTTGGTCATTATTTTTTTTATTTTATTTATTTATTTCAACATTCGGGATGCTGAGGGCCGTGGTCAAAAAGCCTCTAATGGGCTTGACTGGGACCACGACCCCTTACAAATGGGCAGCATAGGCAACATTTTTATTGCAGTGACAATGTACAAAAATTTGAGCAAGCATAAAGCATAAAGTATAATAAGCATAAGCATAATAAAGCATAAGCATAATAAAGCATGAAGATTGAAAAGTAATAAACTCAAAGAAATGACCGTAATTATTTCCTTACACATACCATATCAATAAGAGAGTGTAACGATGCAAGAAAAGAAGATCGCAAGATTAGCACCAAAGTAAAAAAAAAATATGGGGCCTGTGCCCATACGCTTACTATTACTACACTTACAATCAGAACAGTCACTCAAATGGAAGACGATATGGCATTCAAGTGAAACGGCAGGAGGAAGCGCAGCATTTCTTTGCCGTAGTTAGTGCGCGTGCGCGGGAGAAGCCATGTGTGATTGAAACGCGTGTTATAAAGAACTTTGCAATGGTTTAGGTTGGCGATGGTTCCTAAAAGGTTGTCGCCTCTTAATCCTGCCTGGTAGCGTTTCACAAGTATTGCGCGGTAGTATTCAGGTAGAGGTAGCAGCTTCATGTCGTGAAATATGGGAGTGGTGTGACTGTGATATGGAGCATTTGGAACGGCACGAACAGCCCTTTTCTGTATGACGTGCAGTTTGCGGATATTTGTTAGAGTTGTCGTACCCCAAACCAGATGACATTAGTTGACGTGAGATAAAAACAGGGATTTATAGATGAGAAGTTTAACTGCCTTAGGTAGCGAGAAACGCACCCGGGATAATATGCCCGAAATCCTTGATATAGTGCCACATAGTTTTTCAGTGTGTGCGTTCCAAGACGTGTTGATCGAAAATTATTCCCAGACACTTAATACGCTGTACTATCTCAAGTTCTGAACTGCCAAGTTTTAATGGGACACGACAAGGGGTTTGTTTATTTTTCAGCCTGAAATATACAGCTTTTGTTTTTGATGTGTTAAGTTTTAAACAGTTAACGCATGTCCACGTGGCCAACTTCGCCAGTACCTCATTTGCGTCATTAATTAAGTTTGTATAATTTTCAGCAGTAAGAAGCAAGGTTGTATCATCAGCGTATATAATACATTTTACAGACGTGTCAATTTTTACAATATCATTTATGTATATACAAAAAAGCAGAGGCCCTAATATGCTACCTTGTGGTACACCCGCTGAAATTTTTAGTAAATTGGAGGTACAATTGCCGACGACTACTTCCTGCTGCCGATACATTAGGTATGATTCAATGAGTTGTAAGAAAACACCTCGAAATCCATAGTGTGCACATTTCTTTAGCAGCGTAATGTGATTTATTGTGTCGAACGCCTTTGAATAGTCTACGAAGATGCCTAAAGTGTGTAGTTCGCGTTCAAAAGCATTTAGTATAAATTCTTTCTGTTCTAAAAGAGCATGTTCAGTCGTACGGCCTTTGATAAAACCAAACTGCGAAGGAGTGATAATGTGGTGCTTATCTAGGAAAGAAACCATACGCTTTTGAATTAGTTTTTCCAGACCTTTTGAAAAACTGGAAGTATAGATATCGGTCGGTAATTGTTTAGTGCATTTTTATCTCCTCCTTTGTACAGCACAACCACTTTTGCAACTTGTAACTTTTGTGGGAAAATTCCGGTGCAAAAAGCAAGATTAAAGATATGCTCTAATAATTCAGCAATGATATCTAATACGTGTTTGATGGGCTTAATCTGTATGTCATATGCGTCACAACACGTGCTGTTTTTCACAGACGAAAAAGCATGTGAAAGTTCACCAGCTGTTGTTGGCGCCAAAAACGCGCTCTCAGAGATACTGTCAGACAAATATGTGGTTCAAGCTGAATTGTACTGTTCCTTTGCTAGAGATACAAAATAGTTATTGAATAAGTTTGCTAAATCATCCTTACAAATAACGTCACCGTCTACCACAAGCTCAGTAGGCCTGAAGTCATCACCGTTACGGCCAAGAAATTTGTTTAGTCTAGACCAAGCCAGGTCTTGTTTATTCATTACATCTTTGTTGAAGATGCTGTTTAAGTACGTTCTCTTTTTGTAACGCAACAGGCTGTTTACTTTATTTCGCTGGGCTTTGAAACGTTTAAGCGTTTCTTCGTTCTTGTTTTTCAGGAAGTTTTCGAACAATTTATTTTTACGTTTTATTTCATTAAGACGACTTTTAGTCAGCCACGGTTTTTTGGCTTTGCGCGTATGCTTGAGCTGTTTGTACGGAAAGCATTTCTTGTACACCCTTATCACTTTGTCATGGAAAATATCATAGGCGGCTTAAGCGTTTCTTCGTTCTTGTTTTTCAGGAAGTTTTCGAACAATTTATTTTTACGTTTTATTTCATTAAGACGACTTTTAGTCAGCCACGGTTTTTTGGCCTTGCGCGTGTGCTTGAGCTGTTTGTACGGAAAGCATTTCTTGTACACCCTTATCACTTTGTCATGGAAAATATCATAGGCGGCTTCAGGTTCTTGCTCACAATACACGCCAATCACAAATCAACACCTCCCACCTCGACTAGTGTCTGCATAATCGCGTCTGAATAACAGCGGTTATTGTTTGTTCGCAATTGAAGTACAGGATAAGGAACTTCTCACATAATTCACTGAGGTTGATTTGATGTGCCTGTGTACCTGTGTAATATTTTCAAGTTTAGACGTGTTTTTCAATCCTGACAACTTATGTGAATTTTCATGGTTGCCGAGTCACCTGGACAAAGTGGTGGAAAAACATGCCAGACTATACTCGGTTACAACCTAAAAATGTGGATCAGCTCCGTGCTAGGTATTTCGAGCTCCACCCAGAAATAATTCACATAGATTCCTCAGCCTATTGTATTAGCTCCATATAGGGATATCGGAAACCTTTGATCACGCCAGTGAGTTTCCCACACAGACACATGTTAGTGTCACTGGTTTTCGGCGAGGAACTTTTAACGTCCTGGTGAATTTCAACAAAGATTTCCGACATCACTGCTCGGTGAGATGTAATATTTCAAAGAGGCCCCGGGCTTGGCTGGAAATCACTGCCAATCAGCAATCGAGGCTCTCGTGAACATGCGAGTGAAACATTGCAGTGCGGCACGCAGACTGGAATATAGAACTCTCAAATTCAACTCGAAATCACTCTTTCTTCTTTCTATAGACCATTTTGCCTAAGACATGTGGGTGATGCCATATTAGGCTGTTGAGCTGATATTTTCTTGCTTTTGTATGTTGCAACATGAATGAATGACGCCATGAAAAGTCGTATGGACCGGTCAGATCGTTTCCACACGCATGTGTCTACCGTAACACTTCATTTTGTATTTAACGATGTAAAACACAGTGGTTAACAGCCCAATATGGTGGCATTCAAATGTCAAAACCACTCGTAAATTAGTCTATAGGTGATGCCATGTACCCAAATTTCTGCACCATTTACCCACTGTCTGCAGATTTTCGTGGACCCTGTGCAATGCCGCAAAGTGCCTGCATGCGTGCTGGCGATCACCTTGACATGAAGTTGCGTATTTGGAGGAAAAAAAAAAAAAAAACGAAAACGTTGAAGGACGTGACGTGATCTGAAGGGGTGCATCTCCTCACCCCCCTTGTCTTCTTCCCCTTTTTTCTGCGTAGTTTTCAGCACACTCGCTGATATGAGATGAGAGAAAGCACCACAAGTGTACTGTAAAACAGGGTAACTCTGCTTGTAGGCGACGTATCTTGAATATTTCTGTGGCAGTTGATTTGCGAGGCGATACACTTTTTTCGTGAAACCACTAGACAATTACATTGAAAAGTGTTGCAGGGCCCCTTTAAGTAGGCACACCAAACCTTAATTATAAGGTTTAGTATGCATGGTATTTGTAATAGCAGCAAAAAATTACGGTTTGAAGAGAAACAACCGTGTGACTCTCCTAGCGGATAGATCAAAGGTTCATTGGGGCTCTTTGGGTGGAGTCTGTGTTTATGCTTAGGCTGAAACCGACTGTGGCATGTACTTTAAAACAGTATAAACTCGAGCTCGCGTTGGCTTGGCTTAAACGCAGAGAACAACGCAGATACACAGCACAAGACTGCCAGGACTGGGCGCTGGATAACATGCTGTTACATGTTGTTGCTAAGCAGCGCCAAGTCCTGTTGGTATTTTTTTGTCTCGTGTATTGGCGCTGTTCTCTGATACGGCAAGTAACACACTTTTTTTTTTTCATGACTTGGCTAAGGTAACTCAGCCAGATAGACCCCATTCAGTCAGGAATTATGATGCGCTGTGAGAAACGCATTAAGTTCGCTTGGCTAAAATCCAAGGCGCTCAGTATTACATTCTAAGTAAGAAAATGAAGCGTTGTTTCATGGAAGTTTTCGTAATTAAAAATAAATAAATGGAATAGACAGGGGGGTTAACCTAGAAGAAATGGTTTGCTACCTTGTACAGGGGTGGGGAAAACAAGAGTCGAATAGAGGATGTAGATAGAGAGAGACAAAATAAATTAGGAAAAAAAATACACATGCACACATATGTAGGGTGTTTTGATCACAGTGGTCTGGAGGGACTGGTTTCGTTTCCCTGTCGGTAGCACAGGATTCTTTCTTTCGAAAGAGTCTGGTTGTGCTGTTGTTCTAGTGCGTTGCAGAGTGACTGTCTCTGCTAGCAGTACTGTGGGAATCTGCACAGAACATACCAAGGTTAAAGTTATCGAGTAACTAGTTATCTAATTATTGTTCTATCAGCCAGTTTCAGCAGTTGCGTAAAAAGAATCCAGTATTAGGTCCGAAGTGCATGAGAAGTTTGTTTTTGGGCTGTATTTCTTTCGTGTGAAGAAAAAAGAATACTTTTCCTAATGGGAACGTGTCACGTCGAACAATCATTGAACATGCCAGTGTATCCAGAAAAGTAATCCTCTGCAGTAATACGCTGCATAATGTAGGTAACTGATTGCCAGTTTTCCACTTGGGAGGCCTTGAAGAATGTGCAGACTGTTTCAAGCCATTCGATGAAACGTGCGGTGCATGACGGGCTATCGAAGTTGGTGTGCACATTTTTACACACCGTGATTGAAAGGGATATAGCTGGCGCTAGAAGCGTATGGTGTGTGTGGTGAATAAGGTGCATACAGTGTCCCATCAAACGTAATGAGGAACGCCAGTGGTCAGTTCACCAGCATCTTGACTGCCTGAAAGCTGACGTGTTGTTGTTGATGGCCGTCCGCATTCAGGATAGCCCATGATGTGGACTTTTCCCACACGGACGACATGAACAAGCAGCAGGTGCCCTGCTCCCCTCCTCCGGAACAGAAGTGCCGCCTGCCGTCGCCCCTGGAAGATGGCGGGGACAGGGAATTGGTTGACGCCGTCAATCACGCATGTGCGGTGAGTACTAAAGCTGCATTTGTTGAAACTTGTTACAAAGATCAAACCTCGATATAACAAACCCCCACTTAATGAATTATCGGTCATGGCAAAGTAAGCGAAGAATTGTTTTTTTCATAAGTGCAGTGCTAAGAATATACGTTTATAACAAATTTTCGGATACAACAAAGTATTTTCGTGGCAGATGTAATTTTGTTTGTTATGACGAAGTGTGAGTGTATAGCAAATTGTCAATTATTGTGAACTAGATATGAATGTCGGTCGGTGACCCATCTTCCCGCATCTTTTTTTTTTATAGCGAAACAGAAAATGGTAGAATTACTTTGATATCTGCTGTAATAAAGAAATATTTGGTTAGTCCAAGGATTGAAGCCCTTTTAGGGTAACAGAATGACAAAATAATTATGGATTGTCATTTTTCAGCCATAATTCCTTGATTATTTCAAAATATCAAGTCATCTATCGGGAAAAGAAAAAACATTTGACTGCTTGCATCGCCATATAAATGAGTCTTCAGAAGCTCATTTGATGACAACGGGTGCTCCATTGCTTGTACCTAGTAGGGGTGTTTCTAGGATACTGAAATTAGCTGTTGTACGTAGGATTTTTGTGTGAGCCAGAGTGTCGGTTTATGAGAGCCAGTTATTATATTTACTGTTAAAGTCAACATTGCAGAGCCAGTTATTATCTTTACTGTTATAGTCAACATTGCATATCAGAGATCAATTAACTGTCCTGATGGTAATTTGTAATAAGAAAGTTTTATTCGTTGTGTGTTGCTCAATGCATTCGGTTACCCATGATGAAATCGCTTGCTGACCTTCACGTCCCTTGGTCTGTGACCTCGTCTATATTTCTTCAGACGAAAATTAGCTAAAATAGCACATTTTGTTGTCGTAATAAGTTTTGTCATTTTGTACACAGTGTCCATGGCTGTATTGTATACTTAGGGATGCTACATTTCACATGTTGCTAGTGAGCAAAAGTTCTGGCACACTCACTGCGTAAAAGGTGGCGTTCTTACAGATGCTGTGTTCTTAGTACTAGAGTTTGCTATTTACAACCTAAGCACTTTGGGGAAAAAGCATTTTGAAATTCCTCTTTTGTGTCTCCTGGAGCACTGCAGAATTTGCACATGGGATAAATGTGTCATATCCGTTCAGAATAATGTACCCACCCCCTCTGTAATGCCCTACGGGCCCTGAGGGTATTCTAATAAATAAATAAATAAATAAATGTTTAACTGTTGGAGAATTGGGAGACAATAAATAGTTTTTCATACAATAATTCAAATAAATGAATGTGTTAAATGTGGCATTTTAATTAATATAAAATAAATATAATTGGTAGACAATAAATAGTTGGCATTAAATAATTTGAATCATACAAATGTGTTATTTGGCACGTTGAATAAGTGCGTGAAATTAGTTCAGAATAACTTTTCATTTTCAGAGAATAAAGAGACAGTAAATGAAGAAGTGCAAGATGAAAATTTAATTTCTGCATGGCTTGCTGCAGGACTTCCTTCCGATGCTGAGGTGGAAAAATGAAACATTGTGTACTATCTGTGCGGGTGATAGACAATTTTACCCGTACGTTAGCTCAGAACATCCTTCGTAAGAGAAATCTGGACATTTTGGCACGAATAACCTCTGCTGGTTCATGACGACGGGCATGCGAAATGTGTAAACTTTCTGAGCTCTTCTTTGGGAGGCAAAAAGTTAATGACATAAAATAATACTGGGTTTTGTAGGCAATTCTTCACCTCAAGTTATTCTTAAAACACTTTGTAACATGTTACGCCAACAATGGAAACCTGACACGTTATAAGACGTTTACTTGTTGTTTCTGTTTTCTGGAATGTATTTATGTCAAGTTAGAAACATTTACCCAGTGACATGGGTACATATGCAGATTGCACATATGTATTTGCACATATGTATTTGCACATTCCTTTTGTACCAATTGCGCTCACAATGGGTTCAGAAGCTTACATTGCAACATTGATACAGCAGCGGATGTTGCAGTGACACATGCTCATTGTGCACACTAGCATAGGCTGTCTGAATTGTTAGGTTGTTTGAGCGTACACTAGATTGATGTGCTCTCTTCTATCACATGTTGCCTTCATTGTACACTACATGCACTGCCTTACCTTGTATTTGTCCTCACCATCGGAAATTGGGGCACGAATACTGGCAAACCCTAAGCAAGTGGCTCCTAGTTCATGACCCAGTCTTTAATTTTTTTAAAGGATTCAATGAAAAATATCGATTTGCTGTTATGTTCTACGTTGATTCATTCATTTTTTAGACATTGTCTAAACTTAGGTCACTGGGATTCAGCTGGTCTGGGAAGCGGCTCCAAACGACCACGTAGACAGTTCAGGGATTTAAAAAAGTTTCGTTCACCCAAGAGTAAAAAAAACAAAAAAACAAAAAAAAAAAAACGGTCAGAAGAGGACATATTTTGCTACTGCGCAACAAATGCGCAGAAAACTGCATACATTGCTGCTACGCAAGAAAAATGCATAGATGACATGGCTGCCCCTTTTTTCGTCTATTTGTCTTTGAGTTTGTGCGACAAGACATCTACGAACAGGGAATGCTGCTGGAGGCAAGATTTCGACTTGTGGCGTTTGTCTGTCATTTCAGACCTGCACACTAGGAACATCTCTCTCTTTAGTGTTTTTTTTTCTGTATATGTCTTTATGTCTTGTATTGTTGCAGAATAAGTCGTTCCACAATAGACAAACGAGCGGATATAAATTGCATTTGTTTCCATCTTTAAGTTCCCTACATCGTAACTTGAAAGGATCAAAACCGACAATTTTTTTCTTTGTGCACGTTTTCTTTAGGTTAGACAAGCATTGTTAAGTGTTGTCTGGCGGGGGCGTATAGGCGTTGCGAGCCTCTTTGCTCGTAAGATGTACAGGACGTTTTACTCTACCCCGGTTTGGTCACGTTTCTTTCTCTGGCCCTTCTCCTCGCTTTCATCGACCGTGCGGCAGATGATGAACGAGCTGTCAGCCAGCGGCAACACGGAGCGCCGGCGGAGAAGACTGCCAGCCATCCCAGCCAACCGAAAACGTGAGTAGCATGTCCTGGAGCAGTCTGCTTGGGGCATTGCCTGCATTTTGAAAACGTAATACAATGCAAATGAATGGGGATCAGTGGCCTCCGAGCTTGTGTAAGATGTTCAAAATCAGCACTGACAGACGTACTTACCCTGCCCTCTCATTTTAGCTTGCTGTGTACAGTTCAAATATGCGTATATAATGAATTACTGTGCATATCGAATAGTTGTAAGATCCCCTCAAATATATTTTTGATATATACCGAATCTAGGCTTGTGCAAATATTCAAATGTTTCGAATATTCAAACGAATATTACAGCATTTGCTTCAATTAGAACTTAAATTATTAAAAATTTCAAAACATTTCAAGTGAACTAATAGGTGCATAATAATCGTCATGTGTCCTCAAACCTCGATATAAACAACCTGGATATAACAAAATATCAGTTATAACAGAGTAATTTAAGAGTACTCTTGCAATAGACATAGCGATAGAAATATACCTTTATGACAAACTTTTTGGTTATAACGAACTTATTATCCTGTAAGGTGCAACTTGGTTATAACGAGGTTTGAGTGTAATCGTCTGTAAAGGGGGTTTCATTTCAGTGTGGAAATGCTAGGCTGTCAAAAGGCGTATGTAGAGGAAACTCGCACTGTCATGAGGCCACACTTCAATGTTAAATGAACATGTTACCCTCGCATTGATTCATCATTTTTTTTTTCAGTTTGAAAGCTTGTTACACCGGCTTATATGCTTAAAGTATAAAAAATTTTATAACGTAGCATTTTTTACAAATTATCACTCGCATTCTACCGAAAGTTGAACCGGGATGCTATTCACTGTTTCTTCCACTTCCTTATAAACAAAAGGAGTGGCATTTTGAAGAAGCATTGTGTCAGTTTATAATTTTTTTTCAATATTGCGCTGGTTAGTTGAGTCATGACAAATATGCTCATTTCTATTTATAACATGTGATATATATACTATTCGAATTCAATTTGGTTTGCCCGTTAGCAGTGGCTAAGGTGCTCGGCTGCTGACCAGGAGGTCATTGGTTTGATACCGGCCATTGGGGTGACATTTCAATGGAGCTGATGTAGTAGAGGTCCATGTACTGTGCAATATCGGTGCATGTTAAAGAGCAGCAGATGGTCAGAATTACCGGAGCCCCCCACCGAGGCGTCTCATGTGATCGTATTGTGGTTTTGAGACGTAAAACACCAGAGAATATTATTAATATTAAATATTATTCAAATTTATTTAGAAATTATTTGACCAAAATTACTTTTTTCACCAACCGATTGCTGTCTATTGATGCTTTTGCATTCCCTGACAGAATACTAACGAGTGTTTCAAAAAAGTTATTGCATCTCCAAAAAAAAAAAGGAAAATGATGCTGATTCTGTTTGTAACAAAATTTATGAAATGGTGTCTTGCCTTTGTGTACAATCTTCAAATGCGCCGGTTCTGCTCGGCCATGCCTGTGATTTCTTTCAAAATTTAAGCTGGTCGTTTCAGTAAAGCTTTCAGTTTTTTAGCCATACTGAATAATTTATCTGAGGGAAGAAAAAAAGAAGCAGATATTACTCAACGGTTCTCACTTTGTACGTGGGCTTGAATTTGTGGAAGATTAGCATTATAACCTGATTTGCAAAAGAGATTGGCTATGAGTCGTGGTATTTATTCTGAATATGCTACATTCATAAGTATACCTGTGATAGCTTGTGATTAAGGGTACTATATTTACATAATTCTAAGTCGAATAGAACACAGGTCGACCTCACAAAAATTGCTTGGGAAAAAAAAAGTGCACCAACTTGTTTTCTAAAAACGAATTTATTTATTATGTCTCAAAGAAAAAAAGTTGCATTCTGGTGTGTCAAGGTGGCTTCACAGCAGTGCTTGAAAGCTAGCTTTGCGGGAAAGTTTTTGAGGCAGACTTTACAAGCGAAATCAGTTTCCGATTCTAGGTCCACCTCCCAACATCGGATTTCAAATTAACATAAAATGGGTCGACCTGCAATCCTGTAAACATAGTATAAGCAACCCATGTTTCATAACATCAGTTCTCAATTAAGCGTATAAGCCGGGGAGGATTGTACGGAAATGAATGTTGGGATGCGCTTGTGAAATGAAAACTGAAATTGCCCGCGGGTTGAATACTTGGCATAGTAACACGGTCAGAAGCTCAGGTCACCTAGCTTTGGCTGTGCCGTTCCAGAAAGTTGCTACCAGGTACACTTAAACTTCGATCTAGCGAACCTCGATATAACGAAATATTGTTTATAATAAAGTAAATAAAAAATAGCCATGCAATAGATATATTGCTAGGAATATACCCTTATAATGAACCTTTGGATATAACGAACTTATTTTCCTGTAAGATGCAGCTTCATTATTATCAAGTATGATTGTGTACCTTGTGAAACCCCTCAAAAATGATTTTTTTTTTGCACTGTGTGTTTTCTTGAGTGTGATATGTTGCCTATTGAAGTGGAAGTGAGAACACCACGTTTTTGCCTCCACAGCGCTGGCAAAGCTGACGCAACAGCAGCAGCAGCATCCGGGCTCGTTGGCCGACGAGCTTCGGGGCGCGGATCGCGATGGGCCGCAGCAGTCCTCTCTGCCGCCCGAGTCCGGCCCCACCAAGTTGATCCGGCAGGTCTCGGATCGACTATACCTCGAGATCGACACTTCTGGTGCTCAGCCGAAGTCCTGTCTCAGGTACAGTTGGCCCGACCAGTAGCTTCTGGGGAGTTTCTGGATTCGTTTTACTTTGAAGCTGTCTTGTATCGGTGTCACACGGGCAGTTCTGATCTCAATCAAGACTAATCCAGGTTAGGCTCTATCCGGACTAAATGCTGCTACATGGTCACTTTTCATTAACCTTTTTGTGACTATTGACGAGTGAGGTATATGTTCATCATAAGAGAGATTGGTCCTACAAGGAACAAAGCGAATACTTGTCATACTTCTGTTTTTCGATGCTGATGGCCACACTTGTCTGTTGTGCCAGTTGTGGCTTGTCTTTCCTTTTATTGCCTGCCGTCTTTCATTGTACTGCCATGCGTTGAAATGTCCTTCGAGTTACTTCATTTATGTGATGAGAGAAATAAAGGAACCTTATTGAATCGATAGAACAGGGCCGTTTTATTTTGGGGGAAAAACCCTGCAAGCTGAGCAGAAAACATTTTTGGGTGATTTTTGCTAATTTTTCTTCTTTTGTTACAGTAACAAAAGGGTCAAGTAGCTCTTTCAGCCATATATGCCAATTTAATATTAGAGTACGAGCCTGGTGTCGCTACTCTTCACCAATTTGTGCGATCAAATAGAATGTCAGGCTCGAAGCCGCCATGCTAAATGAATGGGCTTAAAGTCAACGATCGGCATTGCTGGAAACGAAGTCGAACACCTATGCTAGGATAGCAAAAATCTTTTTAGTTCCCACAACAATCTGCAGCTGCTTTTTAGAATACGTCACACATTCAACTATCTTCATCAAACTCCAGCCCATCGAAAAATTTTTTCTTGTTGTGCCACCAGGTTGTACGACAAATCTCTACTGAGCGGGACCACAAACAGCGGAAGCCTCAGTCCGGATGACCTGAGGTCAAGGTTGAGTCTGGACACGGGTGTCGACAGCGGCAACTCCACAGCTCACTCGCCGGACGGTGCCAAGTCCATATCGCCCGCGTGCAACGGTGAGTTGCGATGTGCAACTTTTTCCAGAGCTCTTCAGTTGTGTTCTGAATTCGGGGACGAGAAGACATGCCCATAGCCGATTCTCTAGAGGCTTGCAGATTGTCCATCCGCCTCGGCAGAACAGTGGCTGGGGTGCACGGTTGCTGACCTGAAGGTCGTGGCTTCGATCCCAGCCATGGCGGTCGCATTTCGACAGATTTATTCAGTTATACGAGTTGCGAAACTGCATTGCGAAATCCTGGCATGCAGTTGGCCCAATTTTTCGGGAGTTAGTTGACGTTCACGCCACCTGGGGGCAGCAAACACAAATGATGCGTTTAATAGGGACGTTCGGATCAACAACTGGTGTGGCAATCTGCTCGCTCCTGACAGGGGGGTGGGGGTGGGTGGGAGGTCAAGGACGTGTTTGGATTTCGACACATGGAGCCTATGGGGAGTTTCGCAACTCGTATGATTGATTAGCTCTGGCATTTTCATAAAGGTGAAATGGTAGAGACTCCATGAAAATAGAGCCTCTGCCATTTGTGCGATGTCGGTGCACAATTGTGCAATGTCGGTGCATGTTAAAGAGCACCAGATGGTCAAAATTTCTGGAGCCCTCTGCTACGGCGTCTCTCGTAATCATATTGTGGTTTTTGGACGTAAAACCCCAGATATTATTATTAATACTGCAGATTGTCGTGCCATCTTGGAGCAGCAATGTATAACACTATATAGCGTGGCACCTCATGCAGTGCTGACATCGTCACGAGCGTTTGTTACTTAGTTTTTCGGTCAACAGATGGCGTGACAGTTAGCAAGACCTTGTAGGTTCATCTCTCCTAAGTTCAGATTTTGACACAAGGGGTATAGCTTGTCAAACCCCCCCAAAATTGATGTTTCTTTTTTTCAACTCTGTATTTTCTGAAGTCCCGTGTCTTCCCTATGCATATGGCATTGAGAACAAGTTTTCGCCGCCACAGAGCTGGCAAAGCTGACGCAACAGCACCAGCAGCAGCGTACCGGCTCGTCGGCCAATGAGCCGGGGTGCTATATGGAGTTTCGCAACTTCTATGGTTGAAGAACTCTGCCACTTCTTTCATATTCAATAGCCTCACTTTGTTAGGTGAATGTGGATCATGTTGAATTATTAGTGTGGGCAAAATACTTTCATATCTCAATGTAATGCATATCCACACTAGTAATAGTGATGAACAAGTATTGATTTCATCAAAGAGTTTAGCATTGAAGAGTTTGAATGGTACAGGTTGCGTAGTGTACAGAAAAGTGACCATTTTTTACATGACCTAACTTGCACGATATTTTTTAAGAACTAGGCCTATGTGAAGGCTCATTTCTTTGTTCAACACAAGGTGTGACCAACACTGAATAGTAGTAGGATTTTAATACTAGTAGGCCACAAATTGCAAGGAGCGAAATTGGTTGTTTAAAACTTGACCTTTTAGTGTATTAAGCCCATCTATTGGGTTTGTAAATTTGGAAAAAAAATAATAGTTATCGAGACACTAGCATGCATATTGTTGCGTTTACGAGAGGGTTTTATTCAAAGGCGGCGTAACGGTCGACTCGAGGGTATACAATGAACGCGCACCAGAGACCTCTTGCCACCAACCGAACGTCCTCTTTGCCTGGCACCACCCTGTTCCCCGCTACACAGATGCACATACATAAATTGCATATGTGGTAAGATTTTCCTCCACGCAGACGCAGCCCACCGGGCGAGTCAAACAGTCTCTCGAGGAATAAAGCGCTCCGAACGCGCACCAGAGACCTCTTGCCACCAACCGAACGTCCTCTTTGCCTGGCACCACCCTGTTCCCCGCTACACAGATGCACATACATAAATTGCATATGTGGTAAGATTTTCCTCCACGCAGACGCAGCCCACCGGGCGAGTCAAACAGTCTCTCGAGGAATAAAGCGCTCCAAACGTGCAACATGGGCAAGTTCAGTTTTTGCAGACCGTGGGCCGTTCGAATGGAGACGCGCTATGCGGTAAACTAAATCACTGATATGGTCTATAACAAGATAAGGTCCCGCATAGTGCGCTAGCATTTTCTCGCTCAAACCACGCTTTCTAGTTGGTGTGCACAGCAATACTAGGTCACGCTGATTGTACGTCACGTGTCGGCGTCGGTGGTCAAAATGTGCCTGCGAGCGGTCTTGCGAAGCAAGAGTGCGCAAATAAGCAAGGCGTCTGGCTTCTTTTGCCCGACAGATTATCTCGGATATGCAGCGATCATGGTGGTCCAAACATGGGAAAATGTTGCTCAGGGTATGATGAGGCGGTCGAGCATATAGAAGAAAATACTATCGTATAAACCGGACTATAGGTCGAGTGGGAATATAGGTCGACCCCCCAAGTTCAGGTTACCGAAAAATAAAAAGAAGGGAAAAAAACCCAAAACTGCCAAACCACATTTATTCGGGAATTGGGCGCACCAAACCCTGATTGTCGGAGCTCCCCTCAACCACCAGTGCAACTGGATCCTATTCGTCTGACGAAAAACCACTGTCCTCCGAAGATGAGAGTTTGTCGCTGGCCGCCTCCCACAGTGCGTCGCCCTCCGTGCCATCCAGCGAGTTGCTGAAGCAATATTTCTTGAAAGCCTTTTTCACCGTGGAATCTGGCGAGGAACGCCAGGCCGAAAGCATCCAACCACAAACAGTCACAAGCGGAGGCCTCTGTAGGCGGCCCGTCGGTGTCTGGGATGTGGCCGGACATTCACTCTTGGTGCTCCGGTCGCACTCGGTCCTTGAACGGCTTGTTCAGCGTAACGTCGAGCGGCTGGAGGGTGGACGTCATACCACCTGGTATGACGGCGAGGTCCATTTTCCCGTCGTCGAGTGCGCGTTTCACAGCGTCGGTTAAGTGACCACGAAATGCATCCAACACCAGCATGCTGCGAAAACGCAGCAGTGCACTTGCCCGACAGTTCCACACTACTCTTATTCATTCGAGCATCATGGCCTCGTCTATGTATCCCTTTTTGTTGACGCGAAAGACAACACCGGGCGGGAACACTTCCTTCAACATTGTCTTGCGTTTGAAAATGATGAAGGGCGGAAGCTTTCTACCATCTGCCGTGTATGCCAGCATGACGTTGAAGCGCGAGTGCTCGTTGCCAGTGGACAACAGCTTCACATCTTTGGCGTCGCGCTACGCGATAGTGGTCGACGAAGCCATGTCAAACCACATGGGGGTCTCATTGGCGTTGCCAATCTACTACGTCATGTAGTCGTTCTGCTCCAGAAGCCGGTTCACGAAGCGCTGAAAGTTATAAGCTTGTCCTCGAACTCCTCGGGCAACTTCTGACAGATGAATGTGCGCTGCCGAAAAGAAAATCCTTTGCATCGCATAAATTGACGCACCCTATAGTTTGGTGCACGAAACTGTTCTCTCATGAGCCTAGCTTCTCGAGCGAGTTCCACGGCTTTCTTGCGAATGCTATCCACGGTCACTGGCAGCGAGCGCGCACGAACTTCCCGCACAAAGTGCGCTAGCTTATCCTCCAGCTGCGGATGAACGGCACTTTGTCCACGAAACGACATTTTTCAAAGATTGCACATCTGCAGCTTCTCTTTCTGTGCCCTCCAATAGCGCACGCTTTTTTCCGATACACCAAAGCGGCGCTGAGCAGCCATATTCCCGTTGGCTTCTGCGAACTCGACAACACTTAGTTTAAACGCAGCTGAGTACTGCCTCCTCGTACCGCTACTCATATTGACTGAACGAAAAAAAAAAAAACCGACTAAAAATGCAGCGTAATTTCAAGCGGAGCGATAACTCTGAACAGATCGGAAACAAATCACGAACACAAGAGAACAGACAGAGAGAAAAAAAAAAAAAAAAGCCTGCGATTGGATTTCGATGCGGTTATGGCCGCGTCCGGCTTCTCAAGCACATGCAAGCCACATGCTGCCAGACAGCGGTGCACTTTCAACTAGACACTGCTCTATAACATGAAGGGCGACTTTAGGTTAATATTTTATTGAAAATATCTCGACTTATATTCCGGTTTATACGGTATAGCCGGTAGTTTCATGCTGTGTGGTGTTGAATGCATAAGTGATAAAAGGTAGAATACTGTCCCAGTCCTTGTGATCTGATGTGACATACATAGACAGCATGTTTGGGAGAGTTCTGTTCATTCATTCAGTTAGACCGTTCGTTTGGGAACGGTATGGTGTAGAGTGCCGAAACCTTGAAGCCAGATACGAAGCATCTCTTCCACCACGTCTGCTGTGAATTGTCGGCCACGGTCGCTGTTTACAATTTTGGGAGGTCCATGTCGTAGAATTACAAAGCATAGCATAAAGAAAGACACATCGGCTGTAGTTGCCGATGGTATGGCAGCTGTTTCGCAGTACCGTGTTAAATGGTCAGTGCAGACGACTATCCAGCGATTTTCATCGGAAGACCGGGGAAATAGTCCATGGAGGTCCATCCCGACTTGCTCGAATGGAGTTCTAGGGGGCGGCACCGCATGTAATCGCCCTGGAGGAGCACGTGTTGGGAATTTATGAGGTTGGCACTCGTTACAGCTAGACACGTGTTGTTCCGTCGTCTGGTGCATTTTGGGCCAGTAGAATCTTTCGTGAAGACGGCAAAGAGTTTTCGCTGTGCCTAGATGACCGGATGTTGGGTCATCATACATAGCCTGCAAGACATAAACGCGAAGGCTCTTCGGAACCACCAGAAGATATCGTGAGCCGGTGCTGGTGTAGTTTTTTTTGTAAACTAGCCCGTCTCGGATGCAGAAGCGTGTAGGCGATGATTTTGGTTTGGTAGCAAGAAGTTGCTGTATGATGCCGTCCCTTTGCTGCTCATCCCTAAAGGTCTTGGTATTGGGAAATGGTTGGTCCAGTGATGCGATGTAGGTGTTAAAGTTGTCTGCGTCACATTCCGTCGTTAGAAGCGGTAGTCACGAATGACAATCTGCGTCAGCATGGCATTGGCCGCTTTTATTGGAAACCGTAAAGTCATATTCTTGTAGAT